TCATTCGAAGTGTACCTCCAAATAAGTGGCACAAGTAAATGTTACCATCGTAAATTATCTTTCATTGCATATTTCAATTCAACTAAATTCTCTTCTAATTCATACAATCCATCCCGTTACGTCAAACCTATGAAATTTTATTCGGGTGCATTGCTATTTTATATGGGTGCTATTCGAGTGCATCCGTTACGTCAAAAAATTATACCCGAATAAAAAAAATTTATTCGGGTACTAGAAATTAATTCTCCTACTGAAGTCTCTCTTACTTCCATTTCTTCATTTACAGAATAATTAAAAAGAATCCGAATTTTCCTCCAGTAAAATTTGCTTCCCCACTGTTATTTTCCTCTGCACTTGAAGTATGTACCGAAAAAAAAAAAACTTTATTAAAATCTTTTGCAGAACACAAATCCGACTGCGTTGAGAATGTTAATGTCAGTAGAAAGTTCAGATACTTTTTCCGCGAATAGTCCACAAGCCACAAAAAATCTTCATAAAAATCAAAAATTCAAAGTTCCATTCCCTCCATGTCCACTGCATCAAGAATCACAATTCCGAATCGTGGTTGAAAATTTAAAAATGTGTTCTTACAGGGTGGCTGAATATCTTGTGCAAACAGCTCTGACACTCGGCACAGAAGACAACGTTTCTTTATTGTTTTTGAGGTTGCAGTTCTAATCAGATATCTGCTGTATCGCTGTCCATGTTCAATATATGTTTGAATTATTTGTTGAATTATGAGGAGATTAATTAAAACTATAGTAATGTACTAGAAATCAACATAAATGAAGCAGTTGATTTCATTGATCCTTCAACGTCCGGCATCATATCATTCAACTCACCTATTCGTTATCAGTCTCTTCACGAATTTGTCTCATTTTCCCGACGCTGTTTTCTGCCGCTCCGAATTGACTTATTATGATGATTGGAGCACTACTTATATTATTCTATGTGTCTGCTTTATCAGTTGATGTTATTGCTGTTGCATATGTACGATAATTTGCAATATTCATTCATTCGAAGAAGAAGAATGTCACACCAGTCTTTATGTACTCTGATCACCGAATCTCATTCAATCGGAATCAGTGTTGAATCGTCACAAGCTAATTATAGACCATATTTCCAATTACTCGCCAACGCAACATCCGAAATTGGTGATGTTTCGCTTCTAAATCGCATTACTTATGCTTATATAGCACCACCAATTATTGTGTGCGGAATAATTGGTGAGCGATTTTGATGAGTTTGTTCCCAATTCGTACGATTTTTTTCTTCTATTTCATGAGCATTTCATTGTCAAATCACCGAGAATTGTCATTTTTTAGGCGACATAATGACTGTAATTACACTGACACATCCTTCATTAAGACGTGTTAGCATCGTTTTTACGTATTTAATGTTACTCGCGATAACTGATTTGGTTAGTCTATCACTTCATTGCAATTCTTGTTCATTTAATATTTGCTTAAGCATTTATAGCACTACATTTGATCGTTTAAGTACTGTGTTTTTTGAAAATTGGCGCATTTCCTTTACTAAATACGATTATGGTTCTTATGCATGGTTGAAAAAACGAATTCAGTCCGGAATTTTGCTCATTAATTGCTTCGAAATTTTCCTTTTTAAATGCGGAAGTCTGCTTCAAATTTTTTTTCTTCTTCTTCATCATCTCATTTCGGATGAGAACAAATTCAGTCATCATTTAACACTCTTTCCGGCGTTGAATTAGATTCAATTAATTAGTTAATTAACTGTTCATTGTTCTCATTTTATTATCCAATTCCAAAGTTATTATTCAATTCTTAGAGTCAGCTGCTTTTTCGATTAATGTTCATTGAATTCTAAATTTCTTTCGATTTTGCGGTATTTCGCGGAAGTCAGGACATACTCTCAACCGAGAATGAATAAGTAATTGCGAACGTCGTGTGCAATAAGCATGAACCAATTCATTAAGATGACGTTACTGTCGATAATCCCAATGATACTGTGGTTGCTCGATTGGCGATTATGCTCATATCCATCAGCACTGTTTTATGCACACGTCGGATTCCCGCTGGTTCGTTGAATTTATCTGAACTTAAAAAGGAACGAAGATAGATCCTTCTGCCTCCCGAGCGGCTGGGACGACAGACAAGCTTTCCCTCTCCCTGTCACTGCTGGAACGGGACGAAACTACCTCTGCTCTTCCCTTTTCCGTCCCTGCCACCGTGGGTGTCCCCGTGGAGATGCGGAAACGGGTCCCGTACAAACCATAGACTGAACTGATCACATTGACCATTCCACATATCTAGTTAGCAGCTGTATGTTGTTATATTAACACATACTACCTTAGCTAGTGCTACATTCTCATCACACGTGTCATTATTTTGGATGACTATGAAAGAAGTGAGCGTTCTGTAATAAGATTATCACCTATGAAACAAGTATTCAAACAGGTCAACGCATTGATGGGAGCGAGTGTATGGATCGTGGTCTTTTTGACAATGAGTCAGTACATGGCCGTGTGTCATCCTTTCAAGCATCGTTACATCAGGTCGCAACTCGAACTCTTTTAATTTCTTCATTTTGAAATAATTTTCTCACATTTCCTTAATTCCATTTATCGCCATTTCCATTCAGTTTT